CTGCGAAGGAGTTTGCTGGAGCGGCCCCCGCAAAGGCACCGCCGCCCTGCGTTCACACCGCTGTTCCTGATGCGGATCTTCGCTCACCCCTTTTCCCCTGGTGGGAAGGAAGGGCTTTCCTTTTGTGGTTCCCCCAGGTGCCAAAATGGGGCCAACCCTGCCTCCTCCCCCGCAAAACCATAACTACAACCCCCCAAAAACACCCCACCCGCCAGTGCAAAAGACAAACAAACCTGAATCACCACTTTGACTACTTGCTGGTTTGATTTTTATTGTGAATTCGTAATTATGTCTGAAATTGACTTGAATGATAGGTTGTTGTTTAGTCGTTTAGTCGTGTCCGCCTCTTCGTGACCCCATTGACCAGAGCATGCCAGGCACTCCTGTCTTCCACTGCCTCCCGCAGTTTGGTCAAACTCATGCTGGTAGCTTCGAGAACAATGTCCAACCATCTCGTCCTCCGTCGTCCCCTTCTCCTTGTGCCCTCCATCTTTCCCAACATCAGGGTCTTTTCCAGGGAGTCTTCTCTTCTCATGAGGTGGCCAAAGTATTGGAGCCTCAGCTTCAGGATCTGTCCTTCCAGTGAGCACTCAGGGCTGATTTCCTTCAGAATGGAGAGGTTTGATCTTCTTGCAGTCCATGGGACTCTCAAGAGTCTCTTCCAGCACCATAATTCAAAAGCATCAATTCTTCGGCGATCAGCCTTCTTTATGGTCCAGCTCTCACTTCCATACATCACTACTGGGAAAACCATAGCTTTAACTATACGGACCTTTATAGATTTAATTATACGGATTGATAGGTTAAAAGGTTTTAAATAGCCAGCCAACCTGAGGTGCCACCTTTGGTTGGGAGTTCCAATTGATTTGTAGCTGCAGATTGGTGCAGCAGGCATTAGAGGGCGCATCCAGCCTGTATCAAAGTTACGGGCACCAGCGGGTTCAAATTTATTTTATTTTTTGTTTATTGGAAGTTTTCCCATATTTTCCCCTTTAAACTCTTAAGGATTCACAAGGTGCCTGTCAGCATAAAGCAGAGCAAAAAAAACAGCAATAAAAACATGGTGCACCACAAACTCTTGTGTGCCACCACGATTAATTTCATTCTTGGAGGTTTGCTGGCTTCTCAGCTAGTTGAAGGGCTGGTATTAGAAAGCATTTCGGCTTGTGGAGGTTGTGTTTGAGTGGAGGGAGAACTTGAGGGCCTCTAAGAGGCACAGGGTGTTATGGCGCTGGGGGATGGCAGATGGCCAGTGAAGGGCAGGAGTATCCAATGTATTAAGGCGGTTGCCTCTTCAGGGCCATTCCTCACCTGACAAGATTTGGGATGGCATGCCAACCTGCCATCTCTCACCTGCTGTTGTTAGAAGCCAAGTCAGTCCAAAATGCAAACAACTCTCACCCCCAGTTTGACTGTAGATGAGGTGGTTCACCTGGCATGTATCACCTGTGTGGATGGGCTTGATCTGACCCAGTTTGCTCACCCTCCCTCCGTCCCGATACTTGAAGCAGCACCAACACTGGGGGTGCAGAGGCAGTTTTAGGGTAGTGTGACCAGTGTGCCACTACTATGCAGGGGGTGCCACAACAATGCTGTAGAACAGAGCACGAAAAAGGTGGGAGGGCACCAATTTTAGCATACATTTGAGTGCTTAAAGCCCATCACTGGGTGCAGGTTGCCATCGTTCATAGGAATTCTATCTAACTAGGAAGAAATGTGTCTGGAAGCTGGAATTGGGTGTTTTTTCTTGACACTGGTTCAGAGACTGAACAGGGATGTGGTTGGTGTAAAGCCTGCTCTCCTGCTCAACTGCCTTGCTTCCTGAGCTGATGCAGGTAGTCTTGGTGGTGGTTAGAGATGTGAAGGCATGGGGGTGGGGATTCCACATTTTTTCCTAAGATTCTCCCCCCACCAGGCCTATACATCTCTAGAGATGCTGCTGGAGGAGGAGCTGGGAATGATCTGGTAATAAGTGAGGACTACAGGTCACCCCACCATTATGTATGTATCACTTCCTGGTGAGGTTTGGATTTGCAGTGGCTGTTATTCCATCTTGTGGTGTTATGGGGACCATTTAATATTCCTGAATGCTTGGGATGGGCGTGTTCAATGGAAGCAATAGTAGTGCTCTATTCTGCCTTGGTCAGACCACACCTGGAGTGCTGTGTCCAGTTCTGGGCAGTTTAAAGATTATTGACAAGCTGAAACATGTGCGAAGGAGGGTGACCAAGATGATAAGGGATTTGGAAACAAAGTCTTATGAGGAATGGTTTAGGGAGCTGGGGCTGTTTAGCCCGGTAGAGAAGACTAAGAGATGATAGCCATTTTCAAATATCTAAAGTGCTGTCACATGGAAGCTGGAGCAAACTTGTTTCCCCTTCTCTGGAGGGTAGGACCCAAACCAATGGATTAAAGTTACACACACACAAAAAGAGATTCTGACTAAATACCAGAAAGAACTTTGTGACAGCAAAAGCTGTTTGACAGTGGAATGGTCTTCTTCGGAAGGTGGTGGACCCTCTATTGGAGGTTTTCAAACAGAGGCTGGATGACCATCAGTCACGGATGCTTTAGCTGAGATGGGGTTGGACTAGATGACCCTTGGGACTCCTTCCAACTCTACATTTCTGTCATTCCAGTTGACATGACTTGACACACCTGTCAAGGCCCTAGTTTTGTTGCAGAATTGAAAGATGGAGAGGCATCATCTACACAGTTGCTCCTAAATCCCTTTAGCACTGTGGAGCCCAGCTGGCTCCCTCATTTTCTGTGGTCAATGAAATAAGTATGACAGTTGGATGACAAGTGGTGCAGTCCTGTAGTGAAGTTGACAGTCTAATGTATGGCAGTGATGACAGCGTATAAAACTTATTCCATTACATCCACATTACATAGTGCCAGCCAGCGGAACAGGCAGGGATATCAGAATCTTGGGAGGCCTGCCATGATGGATTTGCAGCACAGTGCGAGAGGAAGTCACTCAACTCAGAGCTTGATGCCATGGGCATAGGGACAGGGCATAGGGAGGCTTCCAGAGTGCTGTTTTATGGAATGAGGTTCAGTTGTTGCAGCCTGAGCTTCTGAGTACACACTTGTGGTGGTCTAGCTAACTTTGCCCTCCCCCAGGTCAGCCTGTTTTCTCATCCTGCTGGATCAGTCCCAAGGCCTAGCTAGTCCAGCATTCTGAGTATTGTCTGTTCAAACCAACAGTGACTCACTGTGGTCAGAATCTTTCCCATTACCGACTAGCTGGTCCTTTCAGTTGAACCAAAAACCATAATTACTGTTAAAAGCAAAAATGAAAACCAGGGACCTTTCACCTCAGCAGCTAAGAAAGGGCACACCTGTGGAAGCTGTGACTCCTCTTTCCTATGACATAGTTCACTCCTGCAGTATCGCTGTTGCAACTAAGAGAGAATTAGTATGCCGGATGTGATAGTAGGCCTCTATTTGCTGAGAGGGTAAAGTCCAGCACAGCATGAGATCCTGCTGGGCTACAGCCTTGCATAGTAAAACTAAGATATGTGGAAGAACCCCGGCCAAGAGAGCTGGAGTGGGATGTCTATCCTCCCTTCTGCCACCATTTCTCCCTCTCTCAGAAGGAAGGATCTCTGCCAGGCCTACCCAAGGGATTACTTAGGGCTTTGGATTTCAATAATTTTTATCCCTGTAACAGATTTAGGTTGCTACAGGATATTCATGAACCAACCACTTGGAAAGCAAAATGCTTAAAGTTTGCTCTAAACAGGATAAAACATGTAAAAACTAAGCAAATAATGATCAACAAGTGAAAAACAACTCTGCAAGTGTCAAGCTATTCAAATGTACTCTCTTGTTCAGGTACTCTAATTGCAGAGCCCTTTTAACAAACATTGGGTAGGGCATCCTAAGGAGGGCTAGGACTCTTCAATCCTTATGAGGAAAGCTGGAATTCAGGAGACTGGTAAGGCTCCTGCCCATTTCCTGAGAGCTGCAGTTGCAACACAAGCACAGCCAGGCAGTAACAGCAAGATCACAACTTATATAAGTGTGCCACTGTCTGCAGAATAGCTGGCCACAGACATTCTCAAGTTAACTTCCAGCAGCAGAGGTCAGGTAGTCATGAGGCCTCAAGTGAGCTCTTTTGGGTAAAGAGAAGAGTACAGACAGCCTCGTGTGAGATGCTTCTGTTACTCAAAGCACTCCATTCCACTTGAAACTACAGGATTAAAACTTCCATACTATATTCCTCTAGCCAAATTTAGACATGGTGAAAGGATGCAGAATTCCAGCCCAGCTCAAACTCAGGCTTCTTGTAGTGCGGGTTAACTGTGGAACACAACCAGGTGAGGGCTTAGATAACCACTAAGAAGGGAGGCTATATACAATTTAACATCATTGTTACCTGCAACCACTTTGTACTGGAGTTCACTTCCATAGTTGATGCTTAAAAGGGAGCCACGACCTCCAGCATCCCAGCTTAATTGGATAGTGCTGGCATCATCTTACATTAACTTTAGCTAGAGTGATTGCAGAAGGTATGGCCCTCAATCAATATTATTCTAGCTGTATTCATTGTATTCCCCTCCACTCTAGAAGTATTGATAGGCTTTGGTATGAAGAAATTGTTTGGGGACTTGACCATTGTACTGGCAGAGAACCAAAACTGCTGCAGGAACTGTATCATTCCCTAATCAGAAGATCTGTAGCAGCAGACAACCTGTCCTAGAAATAAGCTATTCCTGAAACACACATTGTCACAGAGCATTGGGTATGTTCTAGAGTGCACTGAAGCATAGCACCAATGAGGCGGATTTGGCCAACTAACTGCTCACTTGAGAACATGCCCCAGAATCTATTGCAATGGACAGAGGCACCATAAGACATGTCAATGAGGAAAAGGATTCCCTAAAAGGCTCACTTTGGTTTGGACTTGATATCTGCAAGTCAATCTCTCCCAGTTTCCTCCATGACCAGGAAAATCCAAGAATGATACTAACAAATAAGAAACCCCTCAAATGTGGATGTTAATCTGCATTATATTTTCATTAATAAATAAGTTTTTTTCTTTTAATAACACTGAACATTTAACAGATTTGCCCCATTTCCTTTCCTTCCCATACACAAAGAGACAATGTCTATAAAACAACCACTCCCTCGTCCTGCCCTCCACCCCCCTCCACCTGCAATTGCAGAGGCGAAGGAGAGGGTACCCGGACACCTCTCTGCTAGAGGGAGGAGGGTAAAAGGAAGGACACAATATTCGGCAGGCTTTGGGGGGGGGAGAGAGAAGGGAGAAGTGATCTGCACTCGGCCTGCTTCACACAGGCAATGGAGACAAGCAGCTGATGGGAAGAGGTGATCAGGGCCAAACAAAGATATTAACTGTGCATCAGAAAGGGGGCGATTCTTTAGAACCTTCCAAATCTATGTGGAACGACCACCAGAGCCACTGCTGTCCACGATGTTGCTATGCCAAGGCCCAAGGCTTTCCGGAGCAGGGTTGGTCTTGGGCCAGCCTTCACCTTTGCAGTCCAGCCAAACTCCCCCTCCCCGCTTCATGTCTATCTGGAAGAAGCGCACACTGCAGCTGCATGGAGGGAAGCATTGCAATGCGGAAGGGGCGGCAGGCTTGCTCAAGCCGGCGAGGGAGTTGGGAATGGGATCCTTCTGGAGTCTCCAGGCCTGGCCCCTGGGAGCCAGGCAGCCCTCTCCCTTCCCCACCCCAGAAGGGCCAGCTGGAGGGCCCAGTGTCCGCAATGGTTCCACTGCCACCGCCACCCCCTGCTCCCCGGAAGTAGGCGGCCCCTTCACATGACAGAGCAGCTTTTCGCTTTCTCCTTCTTGAAAGTGGAAGAGATGAGCTCAGATCGGCTGGGAAAGCGGAGGAGTCTCTTGGGGAAACTTCGGGCTGGGCTCTTGGGGGGCTGGGGACCAGGCTTGCTCAGGCAGATGGACGCTGCTGTCCGGAAGATGCTGTGGATGCTTTTCTCCGATGTGAAGGCTGAACACTCCAGGTAGGTTTCTGCTCCTAGCTGCTTGGCCACAGCGCAACCCTGAAAAGGAAAAGAAAAAAAGAGGAGGGCATGAGGACTCAAGCCGAGGAGCAGAGCTAGTGCTCCAAATTAGGACACACATGTTGAGATGGTTGGCACAACATTGTTTTTGTTTGCTATATATTTTTGTGTTTTTATACTGCAAACTGTCCTGCAATGAAGGGTGGTATAGAACTGTGCTAAATAAAATTATTAAGCCATAGTTAGATGGAGCACTGTGGTTTACTATGAACATGCAGCGCACTGGCACATGTTGATGAAAAGTTCTCACTCCGCTCCTGCCCCACCGGGAAACAAGCCAGAGTCTGGATTGTCATTTGAAAGTAGGATCATGGTTTGCTTTCCCCAAAACAAACCACAAACAGTAAAGCCAAGATGCAGGTGCCAGAATGTAGTCTTCTGAAATGCATCACACTTGAGCAATTGGGCATTGGATTTGAAACAGTCCTATAGCCAGTGCAGCCAAAACACAGCCCAGGTGCCATGAAGCTGCCAATATCCATCTCAAGGAGGGATGTTCCTACGGTGGCTTGTTCCTCCCAAGACAGTTCCAACAAAAGGGCCATACTCCCAACATTGAAGATATCAAAGTTCTATTAAATTTCAAATTCCTCAGCGTATTTGTATTTCAGCAAGGCCACTTTATTATAGTTGGAGTAAGCCTTTGCAGAGAGGCTTGCAGTTTATATACCCAGTGGATTTTAAAGAAATGTTTGTAGTTGGTATATGCAATTGGAGTGTTATTCTACCCAACCTAGGACTTCTAAGACTGCATAGATATATATCTATACTTATCTATAGATTGAAAATATCATTCTTAGTTGGAATCCTTTTGTGAGGGTATGTTCAGAATGCCTTTTTAAGTTGTATACAAAGCTAATTTCAGTTTGCAAGGAAGCACATTCAAGCTCAAATTCCTTGAGGGATAACTTAAAACAAAAAAAACCCCAACGACTTGAGGAAGGAATTTGAGCTTGAATTTAATCATCTGTGCCATCATATCTACAGGTGTAAGTAAAACCCTAAGCACAGAAGACTAAGAAAGAAGAAGACATCTACTGCTCAAGGAAGGGATTCATACTGGGATGGGTGTGTAGGTGCAGACCTTACCTGTTCATAAGAGACAGGGGCTTGCTTTTGGTGGGACAGTTCCATCAAGGTGCTGAGGTCGGTGCGCAGGTCTATCTTGCAGCCAATCAGCAACAGACGGGTGCTAGGACAGTAGTCCAGGATTTCTGTCTTCCACTAGATAAACATAGAAGAGGAGGAGTTTGGATTTGATATCCTGCTTTATCACTACCCAAAGGAGTCTCAAAGCGGCTAACATTCTCCTTTTCCCTTCCTCCCTCCACAACCAACACTCTGTGAGGTGAGTAAGGCTGAGAGACTCCAGAGAAGTGTGACTGGCCCAAGGTCACCCAGCAGCTGCATGTGGAGGAGCGGGGAAGCAAACCCGGTTCACCAGATTACAAGGCCACCGCTCTTAACCACTACACCACGCTGGCTCAATACCAAAGAGGAATTGAACCCTCTAGCATTCCAAGACTCAAAACGTGTCCCAGGTAGAGATATTGCCACATCACCATGACGCAAGCTGTCCCATCCTCTGGGGCTCACTTAACAAGCTGTTTTGCTAACTGGGAGAAGTCTAACATGGTGTTGCCATTGCTTAATTTCTGCAGTGGGCATGGGATTTTGAAAAACAGTGTCAAGAGTTCTGTGTGAAAATTCAAACGTGTGTTCTCTCTTTCTCTCTCACTCCCATAGACTGGGCACACCTGGAAGCAATCTCTATAGCCCCCTCACCATCCAACAGTTCTAACAGTTATGCATGACAAGAATTACAGAGCATTTGTGGAAATAAGAATAGAGAAGCAGCCCCAGAACCTAAAAATCCAGCATCACGGTCCTAAATGGCTAAAGGCAGATTTTAATTACCAGAAAAGAAACTGAAGGATAATATCCTTTATAGATCAGTTGGTTTTGTGTTATTAATATAGTCATATCTTAGGCCAAACCTCTTTCAAAAGACTTTAAAGACCTCCTCTCTTTCTTTGAGCAGGATAGGCTATGAAAAAAATGCAATTTCTAACAGAAGAAAGTAACACTAACTTTGGGATTAGCTGTCAGGCAGCGTATACTCTGCAGCTTCCTGAGCAAGTGGATCAGCGCACATTTCCCCCTTAATAGCCATCCTATACTCCTTTGGCAATTGACTTCTCCGGATTTGTGCTTTTAATGTGTTTTAACCCACCAAAGAATCCATTAGATGCTACCAATGAATTTGTGTCATATGGCTCACAAGTAATGCGACTCGACTACAGGACTCATTGACTGCCTTACTATACAAGGAGTGCCAGCTTAGAATACTCTCCACATAGATTTAAAGCAGCAAGTATGTACAAACATGAAAGGATTGTGAACGGAGAAGTTTCTAAATACAACGGCTCAAAGTGGCAAGAAATTCAAGTTGGAAACTAAGAACTGTTTTTTATATGTTAGGCTGATAGAGACCAGGACTTTAGGGATACCTTGCTGGAGTATTTATTGAAGACCAGGGAGGAAAAGTTAAGTAGGGGGAACAGCAGCGCTATCCATTTGCAACTGTGCGTATGGCATGTAGAAATTGTGGGTGCTGGAGGCCTTTAAGGAGAGGCAGAAACGCATTTGTTTAGGTGGCCGAAAGGAGAGAATAACTAGATGATGGGGCAAGTCACTTTCAACTCTGGGGACACAGGATATTAGGCAGGGTCCTGGGCTCAGCACTCCTGCTTTGCATGCAGAAGGTTCCAGGTTCAATCCACGGCAGCCCTAGGTAGGGCTTGAGAGCAGATGCCAAGTCAAAATAGACAACACTGGGCAAGGCAGCCTCTCATGGCCTTTCAAAATATTGCCCCATAATTCTCCCAGACAACTTGGATCTCCAAGACCATCTGTAGTCTTGAAGGCCACTCTTCTTCAAACAGTGGTTGGGGAGAGGAGGGAGGAAAGACAGGGATGAGTTTTGCGGAATGGCCAGACTCCATAATAAAGTTGGGCACCTCGTTTATATTGTGCTTGTGTATGCCCAGGCGTAAAGAGCTCTCAGTATTGTGTATATCTGCATGTAAAGTTAAAACGGAAGAAATATTAACATGGAGCCAATTCCCCCTGTGTACCATACTTTGACAAAAGGGTCTCTGAGATCCGGATACAAGTACAGCTGGGATAGCTCAGCTGGTAGAGCATAAGGCTCTTAACCTCAGGGTCATGAGTTCGAGACCAAATTGGGCAAAAAGATTCCTGCATTGCAGGGGGTTGGGCCAGATGACCCTCATGCAGGCCCAGACAGAGGGGGGGGGCCATATGGGCCACTTGGCCCGGGCCTCCGATTCCAAAGGGGGGCTCGGTCAGCATATTCACTATTGTATATCTATATTTTCCATTTTGTCTTTATATGCAGATACAGTTCAAGCCTTGAAATAAAATTATTTGTCAGCATAACTTTTGTGAAAATTATTTATATACTTACTTATTTGTAAGACTTCAGTTATCCACAGGGTAAAAAAGGGGGGGCACATTATTTACCTGATCATCCCTTCCAACTCTACAGTTCTATGAATCTACACTGGGGGACCTGCATTAGAGGTTCTCTCCCCCCCCCCCCCGTATAACTATGCCTGGATGCTCATAGATTTCACAAGATCTGAGAGGAAGCATGAATGAATCATAGAATCATAGAGCTGGAATAGACCACAAGGGCCATCGAGTCCAACCCCCTGCCAAGCAGGAAACACCATCAGAGCACTCCTGACATATGGTTGTCAATCCTCTGCTTAAAGACCTCCAAAGAAGGAGACTCCACCACACTCCTTGGCAGCAAATTCCACTGTCGAACAGCTCTTACTGTCAGGAAGTTCTTCCTAATGTTTAGGTGGAATCTTCTTTCTTGTAGTTTGGATCCATTGCTCCGTGTCCGCTTCTCTGGAGCAGCAGAAAACAACCTTTCTCCCTCCTCTATATGACATCCTTTTATATATTTGAACATGGCTATCATATCACCCCTTAACCTCCTCTTCTCCAGGCTAAACATGCCCAGCTCCCTTAGCCGTTCCTCATAAGGCATCGTTTCCAGGCCTTTGACCATTTTGGTTGCCCTCCTCTGGACACGTTCCAGTTTGTCAGTGTCCTTCTTGAACTGTGGTGCCCAGAACTGGACTTCTCATGTAGGTCAGGGACCAATGACCCCCTTAAGGATGCCTCTCTTACCAGGAGGCATATAAGTCTGGCTTGTGGAGCATTAAACTCCGTGCCAGCAGGTACCCCCAATCAGACTCTCAGGCCTTATTATAAGGGGGAGGCATGGAATGGGGATGAGCACGCATCTCTCTCACCTTCTTCAGTGCGCTGTCCATGGTCTCAGGGCGGCCGACATCAAAGCAGAGCAGGACCGCATCTGAGTCGCTGTAGCACAGGGGGCGCACATTGTCATAGTATGGGGATCCTGTGCAGAGAGGAAGGTCATGAACCAGCTCAGGACACTCTCTACTCCACCTCCACCAAAAATCAAAGCCAGTAAGCAGCATCCGATTCGAATAAGCTTTTTAGGTGAAAGTAAAAAAAGCCCACCCACCCACCCACCCTCCACATTGCAGGGCTCTGCATGCTCACTCACACCCATTTTAATATTCAGCCTTCCCAAGGAATAGCTTCACCAGGGTTTATATAACCAAGGCCATCTTTCCACCACCCTTCTGCACAAGTCGTATTGAGGGCAGGAGGGGGGGGGTGCAGGGCTCCCGTTTTTCCCAGGGATTTTTTTTTTGGGGGGGGGGAATGCAACATACAGGGAGGAACGGGTTGCTTAGCAACCCCACTCATCAGCGAGAACAGATAAAAAAAGGGTTGCATATGTGCAAGGGATGTTAGGGATGCAGGAACTGGAGGTGGGGGTGGGGAACTGCTGCGTAGCGGCAAGGGGGTGGAAGAGGAGGAATAGGATCGCACAGCACCCCCCCTCTTCGAAGCAGCAGCAGCAGCATCCAAAATGCTTCTGCAGCCCAGACGCTGCGTGCCCAGAATAGCAAGCAGCCCCTGGCTCCCTGCACCAGCACCATCACCATGGCAACAAGGGGGATCCGAGTAGCCAGGGACCCCCACCACCTCCAGCCCCCTTCAAAAGAGGGGATGCTGCAGCCATTCCCCATCCCCGGTTGCTAGGGCAACTCCACTACACCCCTCTCCACGCGCACACACACAATACCCTTTGAGAGCCCCTTATTGTTAGTGCCCATTTCCTCCCAATTTCAAGACCAAAGTCCACACCAAGCCCCCTCTGCCCTGGGACCCCTCCTCCTTAACATGCACACAATGGACAAATCTCCTCCCCTCTGCATTCCACAGGAGGGGGGGGTGAAATAATAGGCAAAGCTGGAAGACCACAGACCTTTCAGCAGCTTCCAGAGGCTGCAGGAGATGTGGGAACAAACGGGAGTGTTGGGGAAGCCGAGTGGGGGTGGCAGGAAAGAGGATTACTGCATTTTTACTTCAGCCCTGAGGGACTGGAGCCTCTCATTCTAACAGCCAGAAGGGCAGATTTAAGGTATTGCAGACAGCTCTCCAGCTGTGCACACACACAAACAAGTTGCTTTTTAGGGCAGCACCCCCTAAACACGGGGTCTTGGTTCTTTTTTGGCCAGGATTCCAACTCTAAGATGGTCTAAAGTCTTTGCCTCACCTACTCCTCCCTCCTTTGCAGGAGCCATCAGCTCTGCATACCAATGCTAGGTGTCCCCTTTTTCCAGCTCAGGACTGCAGTGCATAACACGTTCTCCCCCCCCCAAAGCTCTGAATTATGAAGAACCCCCCCACCCCTTCTAACTAACACACACACGATTCAAAGCCATTTACTAGGGCTAGCCAGATCCTTCCTTTACTAGATCTAGGTGGGTAGAACAGAATTTAATCCACACCCACTATTATCATTGTATTCTCCCGTACCCAAAGCTAAGGTAGACCAAGAGACAGAAACATCGACTGGACAGGATGCTCCCCACACTTCACCCCACACTGAGCCCTTGAGAAATCCTCACTTCCTCATCTATATCTGTTCTCAGAACTGATTCACTTGTATTGTTCACCTTTCTGGGATCTTATTAAAAGGGCGCTATACAAGTTGAATTATTATTATTATTATTATTGCCACAAGTTACCCCCTCTAGAATGGCCGCTTGACTGCAGCATAGCAGAAGGGTGTAGCTTGGTCCTTAGCAGTGGGGCAGAGTCCATAAGGGGAAAGGGGGTCTCACCAGATGTGTCCCACAGACTGAGCTCCACCCGTTGCTCCTCCGTCTCCAGGCACGCCGTATAGTTCTCAAAAACCGTGGGCACGTATGTCTAGCAATGGAGACAAGATACACAAAGGCATTAGCTATAACTTTGTTGGTGGCGGGGTGGAAGAACTGTCAGCTACAGTGTCAAGCTCTGCCAGGAGAACGGTACCGATATCCAAGGATGCGAAGGGCAGGGAGGTCAGTACCTTCCAGTACCAACAGCGGTGGGGTCAGCCCCCGACGTTGTGGGTGTCCGGACACCCCATCCACGCATCATCAGACGCCGATTTGCAGAAGCCGGTTAGTGCGCAGCTATGTGCATCAAGCCCATTTCACAGAAAGGGGGGGGGCGCCGAGGCCATATTGCCCGCTGTGCGAGCGGATGAGATACGACAGCAACGCGCGCGCCCCTTCCGAAAGAGCAAGCCCTCTCCGGCGCTCAGCTCCACAGAAAAGAGGACAGGCAGGGAGAATCGGTGCCCAAGGCAGAACCCGAAGCGGGCCTGGAAAGCCGGGGAGGCAACGTCGCATCGTAGTCCCTGGAGGCGCGGGACGCCGTCACGCCGTCGAAGCTGAGTCGGTCTCCGCCGGATCGGGAGCCGCTGCGTCGGAGCTTCCCGAAAGTGAAAAGCAGGGCGCGGGCCGAAGAAAGATGGGGCGCTTTGGGCGATGCGACGTCTCCACCCCGACGATCCAGGCCAGCCCCAGGCCCGACCCCCAACGCCTCCTGCAAGCGGAGGCCCCGATCCCGGCTGGTGCACTTACCTCCGGGTAGCAGTCCTTGGCCAACACTTGCAACATGGCAGTCTTCCCGCAGTGCACATCCCCGACGAGAACCAGCTTGCAACGGGCCACCACCGGCTGAGGCGCTCTCCTCTCCCTCATGACGACGTCGAGGGGCGAAGCGGGGCGCACCGGCCAACGTCTCTGCAGCGCAAAAGGGAACGGAGAAAATCCCTGCGCGACTCCCGGCTGCTGGCGCACGCTGCCTCCCTCCCTCTCCGGCTGCAGGACTCTAACTAAGCCCGGCGGGGCGGGGGAGGCTACCTTTATAGATGACAGGAGACGCCAATGACCAGCGGAGGCGGGACTCGGCGCAGCCAACCAGGAGAGGCCGGGCTCTGACCTGGTGGCCAGTGATAGAGACCAAGGTGGCTGAGTCAGAGTTCCTTTCCCTCCTTCCTCCTCAGGTTAAAGCTACATCCCGGGGCCTGGAAGGATTTCTCCCCTTTCGGGCTCAGGGCACAATTGGGGGAGAGGCGGGTTACGGCAAAAGAAGAGCGTTCAAGGCACCGTGGGGCAAATCAAGTTGAGATCCCTGCATTACAGGGGGGCGGACTAGATGCCTCTGGGGTTCCCTTCCAGGTCTAGAGGTTCTGTGGTTCTAAGTGTAAATCATTCAAAGGGGGTCCTTGGTGTTTGCTATTTCATGTGGCTAGAGTTGGAGCAGGCTTGAAGGTTAGGTTTTGGAAAGAGAGTTAGAATCATAGAACTGTAGAGTTGGAAGGGACTACGAGGGTCATCTAGTCTTGCAATGCTGGAATCTTTTTGCCTTTTTGCTCAAACACACGATCTTGAGGTTAAGAGTCTCCTGCTCTATTGACTGAGCTGTCCTAGGAGTTGTCAGGATTTCTTTTTAATCAACCAGTGACTAAGTGTGTTGGTTTAATGACCAAACAATGTTTTTTTTTTTGTTTTTTTGTTTCAGTGTCACACGTAGGAGGAAATGGACAACATCCTGCCAAATAGTCTTGCTCCCCAAACAAGTGTCATTCAAATGCTCAACTTTGAATTCATTTACACAGATCCCGAAATCTGTCCTAATTCGGGCCTGGGTTTTTTTTTATAGCAAGTTAATAATTCATTTGCTGCCAGCTTCCAGGTTAAAAATAGCTCAACAATAGGAAGAGGCAGACGCAGAATCAGCTGGTTGGTAGTTTTCAGAGGGTATGGCTGTTTTGCTGCCTGGAAAACATACTAGTTTTGTATGTTGCAGGTGAAGGAACTGGGAGCACAAAACATTTTTATGATATAGGTTTATTCTGTATGTCGATGAGGCAGAGGCAGAGAAAAACCCCAACCCAGACATACAGAAGGCTTGGGCTTGATTTAATTTGATTAGGTGGGATGAGAAGGGAAGGAAAAGGAAGGGGATGGGGAAGGAATGGATATCTTAATGCCAGGCGTTTCCCCACAATATTGTAACCTGCTCCGTCAAGAAGGCTTTGATGATTTGCCTTGCTTTGTCAATGTACATCTTTTCCTGGGAGGTATTGTCTTGAGTACTGTTTTGTATGTTTTGTTTCTTTTTCTTCTTTCAAAACCACCCCTAAATCTAGAAATCTCAATGTCTGCATTTGTATTTTCATTTTTTACATGTAAGCCTCAAGTACAGTCTTTGAGATATGTGCTTTGAGATATTTGGTGAGTCTGCATGTGTGAGTCTGTTTGATCTCACCTCAATGATAGAATTATAAGGTAAAGGTAAAGGGACCCCTGACCATTAGGTCCAGTCGTGGCTGACTCTGGGGTTGCGGCGCTCATCTCGCTTTATTGGCCGAGGGAGCCGGCGTACAGCTTCCGGGTCATGTGGCCAGCATGACTAAGCTGCTTCTGGCAAACCAGAGCAGCGTACGGAAACGCCGTTTACCTTCCCGCCGGAGCGGTACCTATTTATCTACTTGCACTTGGATGTGCTTTTGAACTGCTAGGTGGGCAGGAGCAGGGACCGAGCAACGGGAGCTCACCCCGTTGCGGGGATTCGAACCGCCGACCTTCTGATCGGCAAGTCCTAGGCTATGTGGGTTAACCCATAGCGCCACCCGCGTCCCTTTGATAGAATTATACAGGGCAATAATATCCAGTGCTGGCTATAATCAGAGCAGTGGGCTTAAGTCCATTCACCAGTGGGTGTACTCTGAATATGACTTAGTTGAATATCACCCACAGTTCAATGAGAAACATTTTTTTAAAGTCATGGTTGGTCCTCCCTTTGCTCCAGATGTTCCCAGATAATAATTGTCAATATCTGAGTCTGTATTTCAGACGAGAAAGAATATTTTGATAATATTTGTAGGTTCAATAAAATAAGTTTGAGAAAGACATTCAGTTTTCTCTATCGTTTCTCTAAATGTTGAGAAATTTATACAAAATTTCATTTCAGCTCTAAGAAAAAAAGGAAACAATGCCCCCTGTAGGAAACACATAGAAACAGCCGAGTGACACAAAGCGAAACTGATACGTGATTTAATTAGCAGATCAAGTCCTGACTTGTCCTGTTGCTGCTCTGGTTAATGCATACCAGTTTCTGTGGCAAGCTAACCTACTTGTTACATTATTCTTTTCTTTTCTTTTATCAGTCTTGTTCCTGTCATAGAGGGTGGGGCCCAATCTGATGCTGACCTCCTGATCCAAATTGGTCCCAGCACCGCTTTCCCACCAAAAATTGCTCTTCCTGGTGGCAATTGTTTGCTGAATGTGCTGTTTATAGTATATAGCAAAGGCACTCATCCAGGTCGGGAGTGTGGTCCCCCATGCCTGCTTTTGGTTAAAAATAAAGGTATAGTGTGAGTGATGTGCCTCATCCCACATTCAACCAATTTTTAGGTTCCATACCCTCCAACATTTCTCCAATGAAGATAGGGATGTCCCATTCCATAATGAAAAATTTACTATTTATACCCCACACATTTTATTTGTTTGCCTCAGCACTCTGGGAAGCTTGCAACGTATATAAAAACATCATAAAACATTCAACATTTTAAAAAAACAACCCTTCCCTATACAAGATTGCCTTCAGACAGCTCAGGAGTTGGATAGCTCCATACCTTCAACATTTCTCCAGTGAAAATAGGGACATCCTAAGGAAAAGCAGGGACGCGGGTGGCGCTGTGGGTAAAAGCCTCAGCGCCTAGGGCTTGTCGATCGAAAGGTCGGCGGTTCGAATCCCCGCGGCGGGGTGCGCTCCCGTTCTTCGGTCCCAGCGCCTGCCAACCTAGCAGTTCGAAAGCACCCCCGGGTGCAAGTAGATAAATAGGGACCGCTTACTGGCGGGAAGGTAAACGGTGTTCCGTGTGCGGCTCTGGCTCGCCAGAGCAGCGATGTCACGCTGGCCACGTGACCCGGAAGTGTCTGCGGACAGCGCTGGCCCCCGGCCTCTTGAGTGAGATGGGCGCACAACCCTAGAGTCTGTCAAGACTGGCCCGTACGGGCAGGGGTACCTTTACCTTTTAAGGAAAAGCAGGACATTCCAGGATCAAATCAGAAACTGAGATGGCTTCTCTAAATCAGGGATGTCCCTCGAAAATAGGGATACTTGGAGGATCTGAGGTTCCCAAGTGTGCATATACCATGAGAAACTCTATGCTCTATGCAGACTCATGGTCACTGGTGAATGATGGTCAGATTGTGGCTAGGAATGGTGAATCAGGTCAGTATTTTAAAATAACTAAGTGTCCCAACCTTTTTTGTTTTGGGGACCGGTATGTGAAGCAGTTGAAACACCTTTACTGGACCTTGGGTCAGTGACTGAGAAAACACAGACTAACATGCTAACCCTCTTCACTGTCAAGGAAATTCTGGACGACCTGGTGATTAAGGGCCAAGCTACACCATTATATTATGGCCACGTGTGTAATGTTAGCCATTTCTGTTGTCACACCAACAATTGTCAGGCAACCCCCCAAAACAAACCCTGATTCTTTGCCCCTCCAAACAATCCGTACCGTGACAAATTCCACACCTGCATCCCGCAAAGTCACCTCTCTCTCAGGCATGGAAGCAGATTGCTCTAATAACAGGAATAAACAGAACAGACTTTACTGGGAACTCATGTGGGGCTTGGATGGCAAACAGGATATGAGCCCCAGCCAGCAGCAGTAGAAGTCCTGAGGACCATACACATAATTAAGTGCAATATGACAACATGGCAGATGATGGCACATTGCTTTGAACACATTTGCCTAAGGGGGGGCGGGACGTGTAGTTTTCAAGCTTGCAACTTCTAAGGACCAAGTTGGCTCAGCAAAACATGCCGTTTTAGCTATGTTTGTGTCTTAAATGGCTCCAGAGTAAATATGATGATGTAACTGCCCAGGAATGGGCAGGGATAAACAATAAGACCAAGACCCGGAATGGGATCCTGCCTCTAATCTAGGGGGATCACACTCATCCTGTTCCCAGCAGTGATCTAAGAATGTTGCCTTCTTATACTTGTCCACAAACTGTGACAGAACCAAGCTGAGTTTTGAAGGCTATAGCGGGCATTTGGTTGCCACTTTTTAGTCAGTGGTCCCAACTCCACTGATGTTTGGTGAACTTCTCACCTTGCTTAATGCTTGTGAACTGACCAAGTATCTTTCCGGTAAGAGGGAGGTAATCTTTGTTGCATTTCTAATAGATAGTTTTTACATTCCCATGTTCCAGCAGAGAGGAATCCAAATTTGGGTGATGTTTGCTGGACTCATGTTTGCTTAAGTGGCTCACTGTCTGAGCTGTGGAGACTCACTAACTAAACTGAGTAATTTGAGAATAATGTCACCCAATTTAAAGAGCTGTCTTGTGCGAGTGAGTGTTTGTGTATGCTTAGGATTGCTTTTTTTTTAAAAAAAAGATATTTATTAAGATTTTCAAAATATTACAAAATGAAAAAATAAAAAATAAAAATACAAAATAAAAATAGTTAAAAAACAATTCCATCTTTCCATCACTTATCTTTCATTTGCTTGTTTCCCGGACCTCCACACACCTCCCTTTTTGTATTCCAATTCAATTTGTTAGTTCAGCAAATCCTTTCCCTCTTTGTTTATCCTAGTCTTTAATCTTAAAATATTGTAACATTAAATTTTTACCTGTTAATAATCCATTTTTTTCATATTCCTTATAGCGTTATAGCTAAAAACCACTTAACTTATGCTTAGGATCTCAATAATTTACTTAGGCTTTAAAATGCAGCTAGATTCTTTCAACTAGAGATTCTCCTACGAAGTTCCCTTATATATGGCAGAGGGAGAAATCATC